AATGCATAGATTAGTATAGCTCAGGAATGATTTTCTATAATAGTACATATTTATATTCATGCTGGATTATACACTTATTAATGTACCATAAAACTAATTTTCATATTCCTGCATAATTAGTCCCTGTTCAATTTTTCAGGTTTTTACTATTGTGATTAGTGCCATGAATATCCTTGTAGACAAATCTGTGCATTTTTTGTGCTTCTTTCTTCATGGTAAATTCTAATGTTGATTTGTTCATTTTTTCTTCCAAGCCAAACTGTATCCAGTTTTATTAAAGATACTTTTCATAAACAGCCATGGTATTTCATGCAGGATATGGCAGACAATTATTAACAGTGTACAACAACTTTCAAACCCCCTTCTTCAACGGACTACCAAAATCAGAAAGCTACTATAAAACCTAATGAAATCTTCATCTGATGCTCTAATTGGGAAGTTTAGAGTGAGGATTGACATTTCCAATTAAGCATGTTGTTTAACAGCTTTTCACAAGCCGACCCTGACTTCCAGAAGTGAAATGAAAATGGCAGAATTGTTCATCTGTAGATCCACAGTCTAACACAAAAAAGGAACTGCTGCTCTTTTAAGGGATGCCATCTCAATGGTGACACTAGAAAGTCCACACTGCCTTACATACTGGTAACTAATTTTGCGGGGCCAGGGCCTAACAGGTCTCTGGGTTTAAGGGAGTCAAGTCTATGGTGAAGGGAGAAAAGGACATAAAAACGAATTTGAGGTTTTCCACCTCCAGGTGTTTGTGCCAATGCGGCGAATGTGTGTCAACATCAGGGGATCCTGCCTCCCAGGAACCAAGAGCAAGTCTCTCAGGACTGGAAGGGAAGGGTGTTTCCCCGACGTCAATCCAGCTCTGGAGATATTTTATTAGTAATACATGTCCTTCCCCCCAAAACAACAATGAAGCATTCTGTGTGCTAACAACAGAGCTTTTAGAAAAAGTAAAACAAAATTCTACGCTTTCATAAAACTTGATAAAAAATCGTATTGCACACTGCACAGTCAC